CACAGATCCATGGTGCAGGATCTCATTCACATGATATTCAAGAATAATCCAGACATTTATGGACATTGTTCTGGAAAAGAGTACTCCTTCAGACAGATTTGCCATCTGGAGTGACAGAAATATTCTGACTCTTGATAAAACCCAATTGTACATGCGTAAGATCTTAACATTTCTTTGTAAACATGCCTTTAAAAAGCAAATGGAAATTTTAAGAAATACAGTAAATGAAGTAAAAGTTCCCAGAATGGACTACAGGGCATACTAAAGATAGTAGAAGGCTAAATGTGCTTAGTGATGGATTGAGGGAAATTAATTGATGTGAAGAGCAGAGAGAAAAATCTGAAAAGACACAAGCAGAAGCCATATAATATGTGGGGTGGTGTTAAATATCTTAAGATACATCTAGCAGAAGTTTTGGAAAGAGGAGAGAATAAAAATGAAGTAGAAAGTACCTATATTTAAAGAAATCATGGCTAAATTGTCTCAAAATTGAAATCAAACTGCAAATCAAAGCAAGTCAATTAACTGAAAGTAAAATATGTAAAGAACACTTGGCATGTCAGAGACAATGTGTGAAGCCTGAAAGTGAAAAGGGAACTTTGGAAGAATTAAAAGGTAGAAAATGATAAAACAGACTTACGGGCACAAAGCAACAATGACACTGACCTCATCAAAACAGCAGAGGCGCCATGCTCGGTGACCTGGGAGAAAAATGGTAAAAGTGTGACTATTTTGTTTTTTATCTGCAGTGGAAAGATTTCAATCTTTTTTGTTTGTTTGTTTTTGTCTTTTTCGTTTTTATCGGTACCAGGGATCGAACTCACGACTGCCTGCTTGCAAGGCAGGCACTTATGCCGCTGAGCTAAATCCCAGCCCCTTGATGAACTTTATTGTGTTGAAGAACTTTCCTTCTATTCCTAGATATTTCTGTTTATGAAAACATTCTTGTATTTAGAAAATCCTAAGGAATCCACAAAATCCACTTGTGTGAAATGATAAATTCATAGTTGCAAGAAAAAGTCAATAAACAAAAATCAGTTATCTATCTATCTATAGATCACCAATTAACAATATGAAAGGAAAATTTTTTAAAATTCCATTTGTAATGTAATCAAATCACTCAGAAATAAATTTAACAAAGGAGATGTAAGACACATACATGAAAACTACAGGACACTGCTGAAAGAAACTAAAGATCAAAATAAATGGAGAGTCATCTTGTGATCAGGAATATTGAGGTGACAACACTCCCCTAAATCATACACAGATTCAAATTAATTCCTATAAAAATCTCAATGGCCGTATTTTTGTTGTTGTTTTTTGAGAAAGGTCCCACCATGTAGTTTAGGCTGCCTTCAACTGACTGGGTAGCCCAGGCTGGCCTTGAACTCATGGTGATTCTCCTGCCTTAGCCTCCCAAACTCTGGGATTGTGAGTATGTGCCCCATGCCCAACTTCAATAGATTTTTTTTTTTACAAAAATAGAAATATTTATTCTAAAATTCATGTGGAGTTTTAAAGGACTTGAAGAGCCCAAACAATTTTTTTTTTTTGTCTTTTTCATTTTTATTGGTACCTGGGATTGAACTCACAACTGCCTGCTTGCAAGTCAGGTACTTATGCCGCTGAGCTAAATCCCCAGCCCCGAGCCAAAACAATTTTGAAAATGAACAAAGTTGGAGGGCTCATTCTTTCCCAATTATACAGCTCAGTACAAAAATTCACCAAACAAAACTGTCACACTCAGATGAGGACAGAGGCCAATGGAATAGGAAAGAGATTTAAAAAGTAACCCCTCAAAAATGACCAATAGATTTTCATCAAAATACCAAGGCCATTAAGTAAAGAAAGAATATTCTCCTTGATAATCAGCTCTGGGAAAACTGGATACCTTCATATGAAAGAATACTAGAATCTTACTTTACATGATATACAAAATTTAACTTAGAAATGATCAAAGACCAAAATTTAATACAAAATTTAAGCCACACTGATTAGTATAATCCATCATATGTTCTTATAACCATTTTATTATAATCTTCTAAATTATTAAACAGTCAAGTGAGTTTTGATTTTAAAAAATGCCAAAGCAGCTCATTGAAACAGAAGTCTTTCAGTAAATGATACCAAAATAAAATATACATCTGTATGAAAGAAAAGAAAGAAGCTAATCTATCCCTTAAAATGTGTGTAAAAATTAGAGGTAATTCATCAACTTAAATATAAAATCTCAAGTTGTAAACTTTCAGAAGAAAATACAAGAGAATATTTTTATGGCTCAGAATTTGGTAAAGATCATTTAGATTAAACACAAATAACAATAAATATAAATGAAAAATTAGTAAGTTAGACCTCATGGAAAATTTAAAATCTTATCCATCAAAATATACTATTAGGAAAATTATAAGCATACCAAAAACTGGGGAAAATATTTATAAGTTATATATCTGATAAAGTATTGCTATCTAGGGAATATAAAGGACTCACACAATTCAATAACAAAAAAGATAACAAAATTTTTGAAAATCAAAAAACTGTAACAGAGACTCCACAAAGATGAAAAAGAACTAAACATAATTAGTCACTAGGGAAGTGTAACAAAACCACAATGAGATGCCACCATACACCCACTGAAATGGCTAAAATTAGAGACTGGCAACACCAAATGTTGGCAAGGATGTAACGCAACCTCAAATTCCATACATTGTTGGTGAGAGTGTAGAATGTTAAAACTGCTTTGGGAAATAGGCCTGGCTATTTCTCATATAACCAAACATAGACCTGTCCCCGAAACTCTACCCTTAGGTATTTACTCAAAAGACATGAAAGCATATTCCACAAAAATTGTACTACATGACTTATCGTTTTACTCATGGGACAAAAACTTGCAAACAATCTAAGTATAGATTAACAGGAGGGTGGATAAGTATACTGTGTCATATTCATAGGATTAAATACTGTCAGCAATTTTGAAAAAGGGAAGATGTTCATCTTTTCATCCACAATGTAGATGAAAGTCAAAAATATCATTCTGATTTAATGAAACTGTCCTCCAAGCAATATATATTGCACAATTATATTTGTATACACTTCTAAAACTAGCTAAACAAATCTATGTTTTTAAACATGTCAGAGCAACAGCTGTCTCCGGCAATAAAGGAGCAGGTATTGACTTAGTAGAGAGGGAAGCGGACATAGGTACGATGTCTTTGTCAAAAGCTATTAGATGATATACTTGAGATTTGTATGTTTCAGTGAAAATAGATTTTAATACAAAGAAAATACAAATAATAATTGAAATGCAGCTGATACAGATGCTGAAGCAGTTGTGATAAAGTGCTCTGATGTGTGCAACTTACTTTAAAATGCATCAAAAATAAGATAAGAACAGATGGATCTATTTGTTATACAACAAAAATGTTAATGCAGCATCCAGGTGGTGAATACATGGGTATTTAATGTTTATTTATTTTCGTTCAAATTTTTCATATTAAAATGTGAATTTAGCATAGCTTGAAAGTACAAGGCCAATATATAAATTAACTTTATCTGTATACAAGCAAAAAACAATTGGAAAAATTTTTACAAAAATGCCAAAGCCTACATGATTCTTAGGGGCAAATTCAGTGAAAGATACGCAAACATATACAATAAAAAGAATAAAAATATTGATGGCAGAAATAAAAGGTTTAAACAAATGGAGAAATGAACCAAATCTATGGATTAAAGACTTAATAGTGCTTTCTTTTTTATTTTTTTTTTATTTTAAAAAGGGTAAAACTGAACATAACAAAACAGAACAAAGCAGGTCAGAAGAAAACAATGTAAGTAACACAGATTTCAAAGCAACATAACAGATTCACAGTGGCTACCATAACGTCTCTGATTTTCTTCTAAATTGTTGTCTATATCTTCACACACAAAAGAATACATATAAAACAAAACAGTATAAAACTGATCGAAACAGAGTAATGAAGGCATTACAAGCCTTCAAAATCAGACAACAGGAAAATGAACAATGACTAACATAGTGTCCGTTGTTTTCTTCAGAATAGCTGTTCATACTTTCATGTATGTTGAAATTAAACAACACAAAACAGACTAAAACCACTCTGAACAAAGAATAAAAGCATTCCTGGATTTCATAGCATGATGATACAGAATCAGCAATGGATATCATAATGTCTGTTTTTCTTCAAAGTAGCTGTTCATTTCATCACACATAATAGAATCAATTTTCATAAACTGTTTAGAAGTTTTAGGCATGTATAAGCCTCTACATGTATATCTATCCTCTCTGCATTAGAGGGAAAAACAAAACAAAATGGATTACTAGAAAAATAAGAAAGAAAAAAGACAAATAAATAACAATAGCAAACAACACAAAACAATGATGATAAAGGCTTTCAAAACAACGTGATAGGAACAGAACTAATGTTGATATTTTACATAGTGATCTTCAAGAGTTCCTCAGATTACCAGACACAAACATGCAAAATTGTTCCGATCCTATGAAAGTTAAGTGCTTTGTTCTATGAACTTATAGAATTTGCAGCACAATCATCTTAGCTGTCCTAAGTGTGTTTATACAAATTTAGATATTTTTCTTTTCCCTTCTTTTTTTTTTGTTTTCCTCCTTTTCCTTGAGATATTTTTCCACTTTGAGCAGATTCTTATACTTTCACTGTATTTATTGAGGATTTTGTATCTCATGTACTCTTATCATTTCTTACACTAGGGAAACTATACAGTATTTACACATGTGAGTTTGATTTATTTAACTTATGAGTATGCTCTCAAGTTGCATCCATTTATTTATAAATATCTCAATGTGATCATTCTTTATAGCTGAGTAGTACTTCATTGTATAAAAATATCATATCTTTTTTAATCCATTCTTCAGTTGATGGGCATTTAGGTTGTTTCCAATATCTGGCTATTACAAATTGTACTGCTATAAACATGGGTGCACATATATCACTGTGGTATGATGTTTTCAGTTCTTCTGGGTTTCTGTCCATCATCTTTACGAGGCTGCTGTGGTCACCTCTGCTCTCGGAGTTCTGTGATGTCTCCCAAGATGACAAGAAGAAGAAAGATGCCAAAAAGTTGGCCAAGAAAGACAAAGACCCAGTGAACAAATCCGGGGGCAAGGCCAAAAAGAAGTGGTCCAAAGGCAAAGTTCAGGACAAGCTCGGCAACCTGGTTCTGTTTGATAAAGCTACCGACAACAAACTCTTTAAGGAAGTTCTCAACAATAAACTTAAAATGCCTGCTGTGGTCTCTGAGAGACTGAAGATACATGGGTCACTGGCCAGGGCAGCCTTTCAGGGTCTCCTTAGTAAAGGACTTACCAAGTTGATTTCAAAGCACAGAGCCCAAGTTATTTACACCAGAAACACCAATGGTGGAGATGCCCCTGCTGCTGAAGAAGATGTATGATAAACAGGTTCAACAAGTTGTACATTTGGAAAAAATAAAATTTTATTATTGAAAAAAGACTTGAAGCAACCAGCTCACCTCCCTGGGAAGTGGCTGTGATGTGGCAGGCTGCAGCCCCTCCAGGGGGAGAACCACCAGTGTCACCTGAGATCCGCACCACCATGTTGGAACTTAGGGCACTGGGAAACTAAGCAACCAGCCTGCCTCCCTGCTAAATAATAGTGAGCCTACTGGTGTATGGGCTGAGAGTCAAGCATCCCACTTCTCCTGCCCCCCATTAGCAAATGGGAACCAGAGGTCTGAGCATCTCTTGGAACGTTGACCGTATGCAATATAGCAAATAAGGGGGATTTCCTTCTACCATCTTTTTGAAGGCAAATATTTTTACTGCTGTTTTGCTTTATTCTGATTAATGGTACTGCTCTGTTTTGATAAGTTCTATAATATTCTGTATTTCATTTTATTTTGCTATACCTGATTGAAAGAATAACTATTGTGAAGATAACGAGATATACTGTGATACCTAGTACTGTTATCCCGGTAACCTGCTGTGAAGTTCTGTACCAATTTCACTACACTGTCTCAACTGTCTTTGTTCTGTCCTGTTCTGCTGTATTTTACTACCTTCAAAATTAAAAAAGACTTAATAGTAAGATGGCATATTAATTGATAGATTAATGAACTCCAAATATAATTCCAGCAACTATCTTTATTTTTTTCCTCCAAAGATAAAATTTATTCCAGAGTAGCAGAGCATTTCAGTGGGAAGGAGGCTATTCAAGGAGGTTGACAGAAGGGGAAGGTATTTTTTTGTTATTGTTTTTGGGGTGTTTTAGTATATGCGAGTTTCAAAGAATAATGTATTTCATTCTAGTACCTCCATAAATGCATGTAACATACACTGCTCCTGCCCGCTCCCCGTATGCTGCCTTCTGCTTCCTTTCTCTTTCTTAATAGTCTCCTGTCTACCTTCTACTTTCATGCCTAAAACAGTGCTCTCTCCCTATTGTTCTCATGCACATTACAGCTTTACTTATTCATCCTTATATGGCTTCCACTTTGCATTCTTTGATACATCTCCTCACTTCTCCCCTCCACGTCTGATTTTATTTCATCTCTGGCTTTTTATTTTTTTTAGAATCCACATGTGAGTGTAGTACTTTTCTGTCAGTGTCTGGCTTATTTCACTTAACATACTATTCCTCAGGTCCATCCCCTCGTTGGCAAAGGCAGGATCGCATGCTTTTTAAGACTGAATCACATCCCATAGTACTTATAACACATTTTGTTTTTTTATTTGTCCATTGATAGACACGTAGATTGTTTTCCTGTCTCAGCTATTGTGAATAATGGAACAATAAATACAGAAGTATGGATATTTTTACAAAGTGATGATTTTGTCTCCTTTGGGTATAAACCCAGGAGGACTGCTAAGTTGTGTAACAATTCTATTTTAAGGAATCTCCATGCTATCTTTCATACCCCAGTCTACACTTCAAACGACAGCATACAAGGATTTCTCTTTCTCCACATCCTCACCAACATCTGTCTTTCATTGTTTTGCTAGTAGCCATCATAAGGAGTATGCAGTGGGATCTCAGAAAACTTTTCATTTTGATTTCTCTGATGACTAATAATGTTGAACCTTTTTCATCTGTTTGTCGGCCACTTTTATGTTTCCTTTGAAGGTACAGCCATTTGAGTTCTTTACCCACTGTTTAGTTTTGTTGTTCAGTTGTAAGAGCTCTTCATACATTCTGAAGTTAACCCCTTAGTAGAAAACTTGTAGGGGAAAAGTCTTCATATCTTTCTATAAATATTTCTTAGGCCACAAAAAAGGCATTGGTTGCTTTTTAAATGAAGTCGTGGAACCAACCCAACTAATCTACAATGATTACTATACTGACTGCTTAATACAAGGCTGACTGAAGGATAAGAGATGGGATTGATCCCAAAAGAGTAAAAGAGAATTCCCTTGAGTGATTGATTCAGTTAATAGTTAACATGAATACATACATTTGTCAAAATTTACCAATCAGGTGTGATAATCCCAGCACTCTGAGAGACCGAGGCAGGAGGATTGCAGATTTGAGTTTCATCTGGTCAATTTAGTGACTCAACAAGACCCCGTACCAAAATAAAAAATATAATGTAGAAAAGGCTGGGATATGTCTTAGAAGGAAGGTTCTTGGTTCAAAGCCAGTACCAAAAAAATTATCAAACTATGTACTTAACAATGTGTGCATAATGATGTATATATAATACTTCAAAATTTAACAAATATAAACATGAATATTACAAAATAAATATTAACAGGAGCTAAAATTAATTTGCAGGCAATATTTCTTGGTAATACTTGGGGAAACTTTCATGGTTTTAGAACCATTTTTATAACCCTGTGTTTGGTTTGTATTATATAATGCTTAAAAATTTATTAATGCTAAAGTCACATCTTAACCTCTTCCACACATTAAAACTGTCAATCAAAATTTGCTACATGAATCAAGTAGTTCACCTCAAGTCTGTCAAGATAATTGCTAAGATTAAATTAAATGGAAAGAAAAATAAAAGTAAAATATAGGACAGGAAATTATTTTTAAATGAAAGAACAGGTTCTAAAGGGAGTCATAAAGCAGTATGGCGATATGATATGTTGGTTTTTCTATCATGATATATCTTTCCATCTTGGCAAATGTTAAATAGAGCTTAACTCTCCCAAACATAGTCAGAAAATCAAAATATATCTGTTGTGCTTTCAGCTGCAAGAAGTAAGAAACCCCAATTCAACTGACTTACACAATAAGGCATTTATTAACCACGTAACTGGAAAGACTCCAGAGATGGTTGATCGCTGGCCCAGCAGGATCATCTTTCCATTCTGCATCTGTCCTCAGAGAATCAGCTGGCCAAGACTCAAGATGCTATCTGTGGCATCGTGACCACATCCAGGAGACGAAGCATCACACCTTCTGCTTGGCTCCTTCAAATCATCAAGAAACCTTTCCTAACACACTTCCTCCCCACTTCTCCAAACACAATCTCATCGCCTGCCCATAACTATATAACTCATCAAGGAGGGAAATGAGACCAACAGGATGGACCTGAACTAGCTCTTGTTAGTAGGTGGCCAAAGGAAGGAAAATGGGAATCTCAAAAAGAGGTCTCCTGGGGAAGATGAAGGAACAGAAGAAGAGCTCAGTGAGTGAAAAGTGGGCACAGCATTGCATCATGCAGAATAACTTGATTCCTAAAGTTCGATTAATTTTTCACTTTGCTTTCACATGAATCTCTTACTGTGGGGGCTCATTGCAATCTGTAAAAGAAAATCGAACTGAAAAACATCAGCAGCCAAATTCAGCCTCCCAGATCTTTTGCCCCCTTAAGGGGCTCAAGAACATTTGCTGACTTTTGGACTAGCACAGAGGAAATTGGAGCAATTCTCACTCCTTATGTGTTATTTGCTGCTCTCTACATCGCTGAATTGTATTTATTTCTTGGTTTCAGCACAGTGATTGTAGAGTAAATGCTAAGCAGCAAATAACTTCCCTGCTGCCAAAATCAGTAGCAATTTTGCTCTGTGGAGCATATTACATAACCCTTCATTGCTAATAAATGGTCATGGGCTTTTTCTCCACTGTTAATTGTCATGATATGTAGGACTAGTGACTGGTAGCTGTATGCATCTCACAAATGGAAGAAAACTACATAGTTACCTAAGACCCCTAACCGTTGTAACTTTCTGACCACATCTTACACCCTAATACCCAATGTTCAAATAACCTTTACCTACTAAAATGCTCACGCTTTCCTTGAACTTATTGCTTTCCCATGAAGAAATAGCCCATCCTCCAAAGTGGTATCCTGTCTATAAGCACACTGACACAGAAAAATTAAACATTTACAGAATTGCTACCTTCAAATGATGTTGTATCACGTGGTATCAGTGAATCCTGGGGTCTGGTTATGGCTTGAATTAATGTGAATCTGTTCTCCTTCTTTTGTCCTTTTCCCCTTGAAAGAAGCAGGATCAGCTATTCCATTACTGTCAATATCCTGTCCTAAGCATTTCCTAGCCAATCTTAGAACAATCCAATGTCAATGAATTTAGCCACCACACATCATTAAGAATCATTAAATCTACCCTTCATTGTAAAGAAATTGACTGTAAAATAATGTCTCAATTTCCTCAATTGTAAAATGAGAAGATAGAAGAACAATGGCTTACTCTGAGTGTTGCCCAACATTCCCCATCCCCACAGCAGGCAATCATTTTCCAGTGCATCCTGAAACTAAGAAAGCTTCTAAATAACTTGTTCTCAATCATGGATATACTGGAATCACCTGGGGACCTTTAAAATTCTAATGCCAGGGTCCAATGTTGAGTTACTTACATTCAGTTGGTTGAAATGCAGCCTGGGCTTGAGGGTTTTTTATTATTATTATTTTAAAAAGCCTACCAGATGATGCTAATATGCATCCACCATGGAAAACCACAGATCTGAAGGAGTGGTTCTCAGAGTGTGCTCCTTAGTTCAGCAGCCTTACCCTTGCCCAGGAACTTCAGAAGTATAAATTCTTTGAGGTACAAGGCTCAGTAATCTTGGTCATACTTGCTCTACAGGTGATCTTGATATGTGCTCAAGTCCCACAACCACTTCTCTAATGGTAAGTTGTTCCTGTCCTAGGATTTGATGAGACCAAAGCAACTCTTAGATCTTTTGTTTCAGGAAAATCTAGGTTATTGATGTCCCCAGTAGTTGTCCCTGTTCTAAAGCCCTCTAGTTTTACTTTACCTGATAATCTTCACCAATTTGAAACTATAGTTGAAGCCACATCTTCTCATTAAATACAGCATTGGACTTAAAAAGGAGAATCAAGTCTTGGAATGACTAATATGTGACTACTCAATACTGCAGAATTGGTGTTTGAGTTTCGCCACTGCTCCAACCAAGTCGTCAGCTTTCAGCACCCACAGGGAATCCAGTACACAGGCCAGGTCA